GCACGGGACGGACCTGTTTTAGACCGCCATATTCGCCCGATCGTGGCGGCCTCTGTAGGTCGCTGGAACTGCGAATGGTCCCGAATATAAGACATATTTTACTAGAAGATGGCAACTGGCAGACCAAAACTGACGGTGGGCGGAGCTTCGCCTGATGTGGCAGGAGCCTCTCCTGCCAGATCTCATGCTGCAACGGACTATGGTTAGCCGAAGTAATTTAGTTTCATAGTATTTTTAACATTACGAGAGTTGTCTGTTGCTTCCCGTTTTCGCCCTCCCCCGGCTGCACCAGCCCGCGCCGACTGTCGTCACGTGAGTTATAGAGCCAACGAGGTTGACTCGTTTTAAAATGTTGTCAAAAGTGGAGGGTGACGTGGCCAACGAGGGCGCAGCGTACAAAAGGGGACCGAGCTAACAACGAGGGCAAGATTCCGGCACCAGGTCTCTTGGCAGGACCCCCGAACTTGAACGACCTGACTGCTGGCGCGGCCCCTCCAAGACCTCGTCGCTGGGCCGTCTTCGTGGGTGCCGGCACTGCCCGCCTTTTAAACGTCCCCGCCAAGGCACCCGAGGACGAGGGGCAAAGGACCCCCATGCGACGACCGAGCTTCGATGAGCTACCGCGACCCGAGCCCCCGCAGGACCATACCGTGATCGAATAAACGGATCCACGAAAGCACTGTTTGTATGTGATATATGATTCCATTTGGAGGCGATGGGTTGGGAGCGTGGAAAACACCATAGCATGCGCTAGCGCGCAGACAACAAAATGTTGTTTTTTAAAGACCGTGAAGCATCAATGGCGGACGCCATTCCTTGGGCCCAAAGCGCGTGAGTGGACCCGAGCCCTCGCCGAACACCGACGTCACATTCGTGTACAATAGATAATCGGAGTATGCGATCAAACAGTGACTTACTCGGATAATTGGCGCAGCGGCTAGTAGATGGCGCCCATTTCTATAAGAAAGTAGAGTGCCTCAATGTTGTTGGCCGCTGCCAGCGGTCAACAACATTGAGGCACTCTATAAAGGAGTCTATGCGGAACGCGAGTCTATGCCAGACTTGTACACGTTACTGAAAAATAGTAAGGAATTACATTTACAATTACTCAAGGCTAAATTGTAATTTATTACAATTACAATTACCCTCCCATAAAAGTAACTGACCGTTACCCCAAAAAGTAATCCGTTACTTTCGTGGCGTTACTTTCAACATTATTTTCCTAAAGGGAAATAAAGGGAAGAGTGTCATTCAAGTTCTTATCGTTGCAACCTGTTCTATTTAATGACCTTGAGTATTTTGAGCAACAGTGGCTCTCGAAAGTCTCGTCAGACATTTTGCGTTTTTTCTTACTCAATATTTCGACTGCTACGCTGAACACCATTTGAACTGAGGCGCTCGATGGGAGTGCTATATTGTTCCTCACGAATGCTTCATGCTCTGCATTGAGCTTTTCCAGCGAAGCAAGGGAAGTACTATTTACTTCGAATGTAGAGAAAAGCTTCGTCGTTGCAGCCGTTGCCTGCTATTCGAGAGATTTAGTAGATCCTTCAGATACCTCCCATACCCGCGATAACGGTACCCGATAACGATATGATGCATGCGCAAAGACGGCGGCGAAGTGTCGGATATCGTTATCGGAGTCATCGGATCGATCTACTAAAATTCTCCATTGTCTAAATCGCGAAGCTGTGGAAGTGATCATGCATCTAGCCAAGAGTAGAATAAGAATTGATTTATGTCAATCTTACTATACCGACATTTATTGGCTGACATAGCAAAACATAGTTGTAACAGTAAGGTGATAATTAAATAATAAATAAGGTTTGGCTCGATATTCTTGTTCCTTTGGGTCTGAACAGTTCGAGCCTCGGTTGAGACATTGGTGAATAAAAAACGTTTCCAGTATACAAATAAAATGAATAAAAGAAAAATAAGGACACTCATAACAATTAATTAGAACTTCGGTTAAAACAAGGTAATGTAAATGTACGTTTGCCGTGTGTACTTTTCATTGGTGCCGTTCAAAAACGCAAGGCGCACGGCGCACGAACCGACCGCACTTTACTCCGGTGTTCTCCAGATAGACGTCCGCTGATGCCGCGGGCAGCGAAGGGCAGAGTACTAAGTAAGCCGTGCTACGTCCCCACTCACGAGTTTTATTTATTTATTTATTTATTTGATACCCACAGCGCCTTTCGGCATTACAGTGGGGGGGTTATACAAAAAAAATCAAGTATGAAGTCACAGGTACTACATTGGAAACATTCATAAAAAGACAACCAATCGAACAAAAAGGATTTCGCGAACATGAAACAACAAAGTCACAACTATCGCGACACACGGAGCAGATTGCAACAAGTTTTACAAAAACATTATTAGAATCATGCTATGAACCTTTTCAATCGAATGACGTGACTGTTTCTAGGGCAGCATAAAAAGCATCAAGCATCAAGCTCAAAAAAGAGCTACTGCATGCTACAGTTTTGCATCTAAGCTCACGCACTTTGTGGGCATGATCCACACGAGCAGATACATAATGTGGTGAAGAAATATAGGTTTCGCATGGAATTCCAGATTGTGAATGATATATGCTATGAAAAAGCTTTAAACGAAGCTTTGCTCGATGGTGCTCGAGTGTGTCCCATTTGAATGTTTTGTCTTGCACGCGTCGCGCTAAAATCACCACCCCGTTTTGGTTTTCCTAACACATACCGAGCGGCTAGGTTTTGCACTCTCTCTATTTTCTCTTTGTCAGTGTTTGTCGGAAAGTCCCATACCGTGCAGGCATATTCTAGTATGGAGCGCACATTAGTTTTATACAAGAGTTCTCGGATGTCATGCGGAAACTGTCTAGTGTTGCGCTTTATGAACCGTAAAGATCTGCTAGCTTTTGCAATAGTGAAATCCACATGTCGATGCCAACTCAGCGAGGTTGTGAAGTAGACGCATAAATACTTATATTCAGACACTGTTTGTAAAATAATATTGTTGACTACATAACGAAAATTAGTTTTCACCTGCTTTCTCGAAAACGTCATGGACACAGTTTTATCTAGATTAAGTTTCATCCCCCATTTTTCGCACCAGGTGTATATTGCATCTAAATCATTCTGTACTATCTGATTATCACTTTCACAGGTTATTTTTTTATACAGTACGCAATCATCGGCAAACATTCTCATACACGACGTAACGTTTTCATTAATATCATTTATATAAATTAAGAAAAGTAAAGGTCCTAAGACTGATCCCTGGGGATCAGTCTTAGGACCTTTACTCTCTCCTCAAGCCCAGAATATCAAGTCTACGTCAGCCACCATTATGTTTTATTTGTAAAAATATCTGCTTGAGATAAGATGCGGGGCAAAACAGGAAGAAGAAGGAAGGAAGACTATTAGCATTTTCCAAGTGCTCGCAAAAAGCTGACTCACAAAAAGGGTGACTGAGATGCACCTGGCTGGTATTCACAAATAAAGTAATTTAATCACACATGTAGGCTCCCTAGATCCAACCACAGAAGTTGGACCGCGCAAAAGTAAGTAGCTTTTAAAACAGGGTCAAATATGTGAAAGATGTAGAAAAATAAACATCCTGTTTCCTAAGAGAAGATGATAAGTGCGCAGCAACGAACAAAGATGCTTGTGGCAATAACACCATCACATATTATCACATCTCTTTTAGTGGATTTAAGGGTAGACGGAACGTTGTCTGGTGTTGTGACATTATGAAAATGATCGTAGCCACTATAACCGAGAAGGACATTGTTAATTATTTTCAGTGCACTTACCGCCCGAGCTTCTCGAAGAGGCGGACAATCACTTGGTGTCCTCCTCTCCCCGTCTTCGATCGCAAAGAAAAACAAAGACTAAAAAAAGCGGATATAACTTGCCCCCTCCCCCCTTTTTTTTTGTAGAAATGTTTCTTTTTATTTTTTAACATTGTTGTTAGGGTCTAAAAAAAGAATCAGAGGCTTGCTGTTGCAAAGAAAGGCTTTGTGGAACTGAAGAGTGCCAAGAAGAGTGCTTTGCGCTGGTCGATTCGCGGGGCAGGGTCACTGGGCTCGACTTTACCAAAAAATAAAACAAAAAAACTTTATTTAGAAAGGTGGGGGGGGGGGGGGGGGGGGGAAGGGAACTGGGGGGTTGGTTCTGGAAAAAAAATATAACAGATTACAAGGAATCTGTTTCGTCAAAAATGTAAGGGAATTACTTTAAAATTACTCTAGAAAATATGTAATTATTCCGTTCCTAAGTCACTGAAAAATGTAAGGGATTACAAGTAATTTCGTTACTTGTAACGGATTACGTACAAGTCTGGTCTATGCCGAGCACAAGTTCGTCTGCTTCTTTCGCAGGGGTTGTGGTGACGTCAGAACGCCGAGCTCTGATTGGCTCTGAATGAAGGACAGTGGGCAGACCTCGGAGCGCGCTGCCTCGATGTCTACCCAGTATCGTCCAATCAATGCCAATCAGAGCTCGGCGTTCTGACGTCACCACAACCCCTGCGAAAGAAGCAGACGAACTTGCGCTCGGCATCACTCTGACTTTATTGCCTGGGTGGGTTGCCCCGGTGTATTACCGAATTTCATCACGTGCTTAGAAACCTACCTTCACGGCTTCGTGTTTAGATCGCCAGGAGCGTCGAATATAGGATTCGCTCCTGAAGGCTGGCGAGCGAACCTGCCGCCACAATCAGCTCTCTGTTTTAGCCGCTAAGTGCCGCCAACTTTGCTGGAGAAAAATTGTAAAACAAATGGTAAAACAAAATGGCTAGGTGGCGTAAGCTACCGCCCGATCCAAAGGGCTCAGCCGGATTCATCCATCCACCCATTCAACGCCAGAGAAACCAACGAGCGCCGTGGACAAGTATACATTACGCTCGTACACTCTGCCCTTATCGATTGACAACTGTGAGTTACTAACGTCTATGCTTGAGGCACGTGTTGCACCAATTATTTGAGTGCAATCGACAAAAAGTCACTTTTGAGAACCGCTTTATTTTCACCATAACAGCACGGGGTCAACGACCATGCGTATTCTCAGGGTTGCCAGAGCATGCCTCAGTTTACACTCCAACATCTACGCAGTTCTTCTCGCAGTCTTCGATGGTCGGGAACTTCTGGCAGTTGTGAGGTCCTGTCTCCGACGGGATGGTCTCGCATTGCTTAGTGGTCGGGTCGTACTGTGCAGTCGCTGTCACGACGTGGCTGGGATCGTTTTGACCCGGATCGGTGCAAGCTGTAGGGTAAAATAAATAAATAAATTTGGTGTTTTCTTGTTACAAGCGCATTTGTAATCGCTACAGTTATAGTTACTAAGTGGTAACGAGGGGCGTGGTTAAATATTTTTCCGCCTCTTACTTGGTGATACGTTCTTCGGTCTTCTTGTCTTCTAATGCGGCGCCGTACGTCGTTTTCTAGGCAAGAATTTACCATGTTTTGATTGTCTCGTCTTAGTCGATTGAAGCATTATTTATATATCATTTAATATTGATCAGCACCAAAAACATATTTAGAGCAAATTTTATTTTACGTTTATTTTTGCTCGCGCGCATAATTTTGCAGATTTATATTTCAAATTGAGTTTGCATTGGCCGAACAAGGTTTTATTAAGCATCGAAAATGACAAAAAAGTACTGACAATACAGAACATACGAAACACACAAGAAACACACACACACAAAGGGGATATAAACGGCCGATACAACAGCACGCGGCAGTCTTCATTTCGTTTTTTTCTTTCCTGCGTCTTCCTAATTTATAACCTGAATACTAACCGTTATTAAACGTAGATATAGCAAACACAGACATATCGCTGATGTTGGGTTCACTGGAAGAACATTTTCTTGGGAAGTGTTGCAGAAATATAAGGTAACTATAGAGCTTGGGGCGAACGTGTTACAGTTACTAAACGACAGTGGCGACATATTCGGCACCTACTAGCATAACGGGCATACATAACTTCAACAGCTAGAAGTGCGCGAAGGGGACTATAACAGCCTTTTTTTTGTTTTTTACCATATTTTTCTCAGTAAGCGTGCTGTATATTATAATTGCGGAAAGCCAAGTTTGAAGGCTGAACCGCATCAAACTTGTACAGTACCGATAGCAAGTAACTAAATTACTCTTCATACATTAGTTTTTAGAGTAAGTTTTCAACCATTTACTTACATTTATTAGAAAGTAGTCACAACAATAATCTGATTATTTTTAAAGTTCTAAAATTATTCATAACTTGCTTCTTTTCCTTCTTATTTCTAATGTCGCGTTTTGTTCGTACGAGATTCCTACAAAGGAATGTTAGAACCAAATCTCCGCCAGGGGGATGGTTCACCAAAATTGGTGGATTAAAGATATAAATACTTCATAATTCGTTCATTCTGAGCCGATAACGTGTGATACCAAAATGCCCGTTTTCACTTCAGGCAGAAAACTCTGTCAATTAGAAAATCTGAAATCATCGGAAAAGTAACAGTTACTTTTTCAAGTAACGGTCAATTACTTTTTGTTTCGAGAAATCAAAATATCTAATTGAATACTTTTTAAGGCAGAGTAATTGTAATTGTAACCGGTTACTTCATTTTTCTTTCGACTAACGTGTACAAGGAGGGACCGTATATATACACAACGACCGTAGCGGCGAGAATGCAATCCGATTTTGCATAGTATAGTCTTGCTTTTTCTTCTACGGTCCACTGATACCATGCGGTTCTGGTTCTGGTTGTGAAGCACAGCATTTCTTTAGAACATTATCTGATAATACCATTGTTCAATCAGACCTTCACCATTCCCTGATCAACATATTCGATCTAAGGGGCTGAAGACACCCAAAAGGGGATAACATACATGCGTCGGCGACCAAGGAGGTTGATGGCATTGACCAACAAGAACAAAAAAGAACAAAAGTTTGAAAAAGAAGCTTGATTTTAATAAGACACGCCCCGCGTTTCTTAAGGTCTCAGTGAGCGTAGAAGAACGAAGACCTCATACTTACTTTGAGGATAGGCGCAAACATGGCGAGGGCCGGCAGCCACAGTTTCTGAAATCAAGTAAAAAACATATCGGTCGCACGATAAAGTAAACTAAGATACCAAATTCAGATTCGCGAGTCTCATGTCGGGCGTTTATTTCGTGGGTTGCCACATTTTACTGGAGACTCTTATTTGAAATGACCATACTAACAACAATGTTTGACTGCGTTTAACTACCTTGTACCTTGTGAGGAGATACGACACCGAGTTAACGAACGCAAAGTACCAAGCGTTGCAAAGCATGGTTGTCATGGTAACCACAAGTCGTACATGGACTTATGCAGAATCAATGCAGTTAAAAGCAGTCAAAGAGCGCTGTGAGAATAGGCGTGGAAACGGTCTCCCTTTTATGCCCCCCCCCCCCCCCCCCCCCCCCTCCCGCTTCATTTATTTCTAGATGAAATATATTGTCATAAAATTTCGCATCGCGTAATCAGGAGCTGTATCAGGCGTAGATAATAACACACACACAAAAAAAAAGCGCATAGAGAAGTCGATTTTGTCTTGGAAACGAAAAAGAAGACGCATAGAGAAGTCAATTTTGCATAAAGAGGTAAAATAACCTGCCGTCAGTTTGTATAGTACTCGTTCAAAGGTTAATATAGCAAAGCTCCCCAGACTAACATTCAGTCGACTCTTCATCCAAAAAATAGCACAATCAAGTTGTTAAGAATCGCCCGTATAAAAGATATTCCCTGGAAAGCTTTCCAAAGCACTGAAACTCCAGAACAATCTAGAGCAATGCGTACATCATATGAGTCCAAGATACTCACTGCACACCAGGACGAAGCAGACTGCCAGCAGGACTACCAGCTTTGAAGCGCTCAGAAAGTTAGCTGCCATTATTTCTGCTTGTTGTACGACTGTTGAAGAAGACGACAGATAATGATTACTACGGAGTAAGATGCTTCCTTTTATACAGATTACATTCCATGTAATCTCTGCTCCGCGTGATGTTGAGCAGGAAGCAAGATATTGATCCCATTATTAAAAATAAATGCAGCTACAACGTTCGGCCGCAAGTCATGGACGTGGATTCCTAGTAAGAGTAAGCAGTCACAAACCTGTTTTTCTGATAAACCTTCATTTTACCTTCCCGAGCATAATGAAATTAATAAAATACAGACATCCTCAATATTAATCGTAAAGTGTCCAATCCACAAAGCACATGTCACTCTCACAAACAGGTTTACGCCAATAGGCTTGCGATGTCAAGCAATAAGTCACACCTGCAACAATGACAGCACCTTTTTAGAAAGTGATGGTCATTCTCCATTTCGTAAATTTCCTTCACTCATGTACAACGGCTGATTATTACAATATAAATTCTCCACCTGTTAACCGAGGGAGACCGGAGAAGGACAAACCGGGGACAAAGTTCACATTGCGAAGATACGAACAAAATAATTTTAAACAATCGCAATTAAAAGCAACAACAACAACAACGAAACACCGCTAGACGACGAGGACAAAGTAAAGTATAACCCAAAGGATACAGCGCTGTGTACCGTCAGTTACCTTTTACTTTGTCCTCGTCTTCGGGTTCGTTTTTGTTTTTGGTTATGCCTGTTTATCAGCTTGCCCCAAACTTCTACGTCCCCTTTGTACGACCAGCAAGTGTTCCAAAATGTGTCTCTGGCGCATCGAAGACAACACAGAAGAAGACAATCAGAAGACAACACAGAGACCACGCAGGAATTTCGCGACGACGAGGCAGCCAAGCGCGCGCCGTGATGGGGGGAGGGGGGGGGGGGGGGGAGGGAGGGGGGCAGCAAAAGCACGTGGGCCAAGGCCAGAACTTGCACGCCGTACAGCCACTGTCAATTAAAGAATATTATGTTTCTGGCATTGCGATTCCTTCTTCGATGCTCTTATCGGCGAAGGTCGTAATCTCCTTCGACGCAGAGCGATAAAAATTATGCCCGGATCACGCCATGCCCCGCGTTTCTTTAACTGTCAGTTACCATGCTCGTATTTCAAGGAATGAAGTAGAAACAATATTGTATCTTGGTTTGTTCGTTTTCGTATACACATGCTTCTATCTGGAGAGGCGGTGGTGTTACCTGATATAAGTAGGAGTGTGGAAAATACTAGCTTCGGATTAAGTAGCGAAGTGCCATCCTTATCGATTGAACACAGCAAAGAGAACGGACATGTCTTGGCTTTAGCTCGCCCTCAGATGGTCATGAATGACGCAGTGCTATTTAATGGTTCGAATCATTGTTTATATCCCGTCATAAATACTGTTGTTATCACCTTCTCTAATGATCGCATTTAATTACACCGTAAACAAGCGGTTAGGAAGAGTGGGCTCGTATATGACCCCTTGTGAATACCACCTATTGACAAGAAATAGAATATTGGTAACTTTGTAAGAAATACTGCTCGATGACTTTTGGAGCGGCCAATTGAGAGTTCATTCGATGCGCTTAGACATTTGTAAGTACTCCCAAGTCCAGCAACGAATTGCGGTGTATAGTTTCCGTTTACGGCGTCCGTACGCGCCGTGCCAGCTTCTACGAATTCAACGGAACCCCAACGTCTGATAATGAACAAAAAATAATCAGGTACGTGACATCAAACTGTTTTTCAACCTTGCTTGTTCCGGGAAGGGACATGATTCACAACCCGAGCATTGATTTCGTAGTATGGCAAAACCAAATTATAAAAAAAATTCAATTACGTTTTGCCATTTCCGTTTTGAAATGAAACGGAAATTTATTTTGCCGTTTCTTTTGTATAAGTATTTTATTGAATATGTTAAATTTCTGTCCTTAAACAAACTGCCCTCAATCGTATGCACATTATTGTTAGCAATGGCAAGGTAGCGTAAAAATAAGCAACCCGCTTATTTGAGAATAAAGTTTACTGATGAAATCTCTACTGAAGGTAGATGCTAGAGATAACAAAGTTAACAAAAACGTTTTTATCCGTATTTTTAACGCTTGGCCCATTTGTTTTGCAAACATTTCAAAGTGCCATTCAGAAAGAAAAAAAAAAGACCTAAATGACGCGTTTTATTTTCCAGTGGGTGATAATGGACCCATTCCGAAATTCAGTCTGGCCACCTCGAAAACTATCATCACCTAAGTGTATATCATCACTACTGCTAATGGATAGCTTTTGATGACTGGTGAAGGAAGAAATCGAAGACTGGGGGGGGGGGGGGGGGGGGGCACTGATGCGGAGCCTAAAAATTTCGGTCGTTAAATCGCTGGGTTGTTGTTCGATGTCAGCGTGACGAGACTTGCACATTAAAAAAGGAAAAAGAGAAGGGTGTAGCCATTACACCCCTTATCACATATACGACGCCAAATACTTCAGATCGACGTAGAGCTCACTTACAGTACCGACTTTTACGAGAGACTTGATGCCGGTGGGATATAACAAATTAAACAACTGAAGTACGTAACGAAAACTACAAAAAACAAAAGAAAAAAAACCGCTGAGGTTTTGCAGTAAGGTCAAGAAAACCCCGATTACTTTTTTTGTTGCAGTCAGTCACATGTACATCAGCTATTTGAATAAGTTGTACTGCTCGGCTATCAAGACACTCGTGAAAGTTTGTACCGTCGGATTTAACGTCAGTGCTGTACGTCCAACTGAACTTTTGGGCTATCTTATATGTAACAAGGCGTTTAAGAATATACCTTTTTTTTTATGTGCGTCTAAGTTTCTGTAAGCTACACATTTGAGGGTGTCATGTGCATCCTTGGAATGCTCTGTTTCGGCACGCCGCAGGCAGCTCATGACACAACATGTGGTGAACATTATCGACATATTTACTCAAGTAAGTGATACGTGCAGACTTATTCTTGACACCATTAATACTGAAACGAATAGAGAGAAAAAATCTCTACTGCAAAGAGCCCCACAACTTTCGTACTTCTGCTGTTGACGCAGAGACAGTAGGTCTTCACCGCCATTAGCATAAAAAAACTTACACTGATATTTGAGCCACTAGATGACACTAAATTTCTGAAAGGGTTTATACTTTCATATACTCGACAGTTCTATTGTGCCTTTGTATAGAGCGTAACAAGCAGTCTTAACAGTCTTAAAATATGACAGGTGGCTATCCGGTTTGTCAGTGGTCTCAAAAATAACATTTCTCATCGTCCTTTTTTTACATTTGTTCTAGTTGTTTCGATCATTGTTTATTTCCCCTTGGGAACGGCATGCGCCTGTGAGATAATCAAGAATAATTGTCGCTCGGCAGCACTGGTGGTTGGTCGCAGTAGCATAATGACAGGCCTGATTTGTCATCCGTACAATGATGGAACTGCATCTGTTCCACAGAAAGGTTTAATGCAAAAGGTCGAATAACGAGTGAACCCAGAACCCGCGATATGCCGCTGTTCTCACTTCATTGTTTGGCACGACAAGCCAGTTTTTGTCCCGATGAATGAACGCTGCTTTCATTTCCTTCGGAAATGTTTCAGCCAGTCAGATTAAAACTATTTACATTAGCTCAGAAGAAACCATAACATAAACAATCAAGGCGTGCTTTGTTATTGCATGCACTCAAAACTAGCGCTTTCTTTTTTTTAAATTTTAAGCTATGCGTAATGTGTACGATTGAAAACTACCCTCCATTCTTCTGATCTCTACGTAAAACCCAGAGAAAGTACACTCCAAAAAAAGCCCGTGAGTCTGCTTTCCCGCACAACCCTCGGAGAGCCAATCAGCGCAACTTAGGGAGGCAGCTCAGCGAATGACGATGCCGAAACATATGTTTAGACCAAAAAGCGCAGTCTGAGTTGTGACAATGGGGAGTTTTAGTAGATCGTTTTCGTGCAGCCGCTCTGCAGAGCGGAGCGCGGAACCGCCACTGCGCCTGCGCGCCGATGGCCTTGGCTGTAGAGTTCCGGGTAGCGGAGGGGCTCAGCGGAGCGGGAAACACGGTCTACTAAAACTCGCTATTAAGCAATGCAAGCGTGACGTTTTGCATTGCTTAATGTCACAACTCAGACTGCGTTTTTCGGTGTAAACATATGTTTCGGCATTGTCATTCGCTGAGCTGCCTCCCTAAGTTGCGCTGATTGGCTCTCCGAGTGGTGTGCGGAAAAGCAGACGCACAAACATTTTTTAGCTTGTAGCGCTAAAAAAAGTATCCGAGTTCGTTTTCCTGCTGTACATAAAGAGAACCTATTCTCGAAAAAAAATATTTCATTTAAAAATGAGGTAGTTTAGGAAACAATTAGGTACGAATATAATGCTTTGTTCACAGGGACAAGGAGCAAATAAAGCGTCACGCGGGTATTGTATACCTACGAGAATCGCAATTTATTTGGTCTAATTCATACTTGAACGGTACTCCTATTGCAGGTAACCAAATGACTTGTAATTGATTACTTTTTGCAATAAGGTTTTAATAATTTCAATCAATTTCTTAGAAATAATTCACAAGAGTATTTGGACTTCTTTTAGGGAGTACTAAAATTACTTGTACTATTACTAACGTGCCCTTTCCTTCCCATAATATGGCGCCTTTTGTTTGCTCAAGTTTCCTACCCAGGTATTCTCGAACCAAGTTTCCGACATGATGGGTGGTTAACCGAAATGGGCCTTTTCCGCTAGAGTTCCTGTATATGCTACCTACGGTAGCAGAGTTGCGCATTCAGCCTCGGCGCGTGGCCGTAGCGCCGGCTTTCCCGCACGAGCTGGATGCTTTGCTCCTCACGTGACTAAATTTGGCGACTAGCGGCGCCGCGCGCGCCGGCGCGCATGGAAAAAAGGAGAGGAGGAAAAGGAGGCGGAAAGCAGGGGAACATACGCCGGGGCAAGAGAAACGTCGGCGGAGCGACCGTAAAGGTGGTTTTCTTGCACGCCAACGGATGCTTTGCTCCTCGCGTGATGGA